TCAGTTTTTCACCCATTAAATCATTCATTTTTTCTTAATACATTTTCTTTACTTATTTCTTCATAGTTTTTGTTTGTTGGCTTTTCTTCCTATCTTCCCTCGCTCACAATCATATATTTTTACTCCCTTCATTCCTTTCCTTTTTTTTATTTTATCATCTTTACTTTTACAATCTTCTTTCTTCTTTCCTTTTCCTATCTGCGTATTTTTAGTTCTTTGCTCACATTATTAATATATTTTACTTTCTCTTTCTTTTTCTTCTTTTACTTTAATTATCTTTCTTCTTTTTCCAACTACCGTTTTCTTTCTTTTTCTTTTCTTTCTTTCATTCTTTCTTTCTTTCTTTCTTTCTTTCTTTCTTTTCTTCATTCTTGCCGTCCTTAGTTTCTTCCTTTCTTTCTTTATCTTTTCTTTCTTTCTTTCTTTTCTTTTTCTTTCTTTCTTTTTTATTTTCTTTCTTTCTTTTCTTTTGTTCTTTCTTTCCTTTTTCTTTCTTCTTTCCTACTTTCCTTCCTTCCTCTCTTTTTTTCTTTATCTATTTTTTTCAGGAATTGTCTCTTTCGTCTTTTTCTTTCTTCCATTCTTTCTTTTCTTTCTTTCTTTTTCTCCTTTTTTTCTTTCTTTTTCCTTCCTTCTTGCCGTCCTTCGTTTCTTCCTCTCTTTCCTTCTTTCTTTTTGTTTTCTTTCTTTCTTTTCTTTTTCTTTCTTTCTTTTTTATTTTCTTTGTTTCTTTTCTTTCATTCTTTCTTTTTTCTTTCTTTTTTTTCTTTTCCTTTCTTCTTTCCTACTTTCCTTCCTTCCTCTGTTTCTTTCTTTCTTTTTCTTTTCTGTCTTTCTTTCTTTTTCTTTTTCTTTTCTTTCTTTCTTTCTTTCTTTTTACTTGATCCTTTAGCGTTTTCTGTCGTTCTCTGCATTTTTCTTTCTTTCTCGATTCTTTTACATTTTCCGATTCTAGAAAGTTGCTGTTTAGGCAAATCATGATATCACAGGTCGGATATATTAAACATGGACCTTTGTTTCGTTCTAATAACTGCATACATTATGGCATAACAAGTACTAAAAATCATTTATGGAAATTCATTTGAAGTTATTTTACTCTAAGAAAGTATTACAATTATTTATTTAAAAAGGCATCAAAACTTGCATTCACTTAAATGATAACATCTGTAATGAAACATCAAACCCTGAACGTCTATCGAGAAATTCATTTGAAATGATTTTACTATAAAAATCTATTGCAATTATTTACGGAAAAATACACCCTTGTGCAAATTAATTATACAGGAAGATGTGAAGGGCTAAGATCACCTACACCCTTGTGAAAATTAACTGAAACAAAACGAATAATTCCGTTATTTTTTTTTTTCGTATTTTTCCAATGAAACATGACCCAGTGCACATGTTAGTACTTCATATGTCCATTCCACAAAGTCGTTCCTTGCAGATTGACCAGAGATTTTCGATTGGATTTAAATCAAGAGAGTTTCCGGTTCAATCTATAGTACTTTGATTTACTCACTGGTAAGGCTTGTCAGTTTGTTCGTGCAGCATTATAAATTTTTGTACGCTTCCTTGGAGTAACGTCCATCGCAGATAATAGCCGTAGGACAACTAATCGACAGTCGAGAAAATGGTGTCTGGGCGTGATGACAAATCTGATGCCAAAACAAATTTCATCATACATCCCGAAAATAGATTTATATTACTACACACCAATGCAAATGGCCTAATGTGAGGAAAAAATAGAAATCGATTACACCCTGTCACTCCAGTGGGTCTAAAACTGACCGTATGTTGAAAGAAAGGAAACTAAAGCAGTTGTTATAATTATTTTGCACAAGGGTGTGTGCTAAAACTTTCATTCACTCAAATCATTGCAATTGTAGTGACATAGCAAATACTAAAAACATACATAGAAATTAATTTGTAAATATTTACACTATTTATATTTGGACTATCACAATGTTTCGACCGTTGTGCCCTCCGGCCTTCTTCAGGTGTATATCGATCTGGGTGACATACAGAGAATTCTGAACTGAACAATTTATTTAATCTCCAGACTAGATTTTTCTCATTTTACTGTCCATGTCGACGGATATTGTCTATTTCTTATCTTTATTTAGTGCCCAAGTATTGTTCGTCCCTTTCCACGGAATACAAGTACACACTGCCCGACCTAGGGATTGAACTCACAATAAAAAAAACAATGCTTTAATGCACCAGGCAATTCATCTACAATGAAACAAAGTAAAATATTTTTTATTAAAATTTTCTTCAATTGATAAAAGGTTATAGAAATGCAAAAAATGTATTCTTAGTTGGCAATAATATAAGTGGCAGAGGGCTAGTAAAAAGCACTGTTAGTTATTTATGGCTAATTGGTTAAAATAATGCACTAATGAAGGCCGGTGCGTACTATCCCCCCCACCACGACAACCCTAATTTGTGTTCCGTAGGACAATTTGCTGTAATGAAACTTATCCGCTGATTAGGTTTGTAACAGTTGCTCCTGCTATCTGTCGTATTTTTGTTTACTGCCCATGTTTTGATTGTCGTCTTGCAATTGATGTTTAGTCCTTTTTTCTCGATTTCCTTCATTACGTTCTGTAGGGGTTCTTGTGGCTCCATGTGTCAAGACTGTACCATTTGCGTATTGATAAGATTATTGTGAGGAACGAGAAGGCTCACTTCCCACAAAGCGAATTTGCTTGGCGTGTCAGGTCTTGTTGAAAGATCGCGACCACCATTAAAAGTGAAATGGATTATTCCGAAATTCCTATCTGACGTGCAGATGTGGAATGAAAAAACACTAAGAATTCAAACCAGTTTGAATTTATAAAAAAAAAAATAGGAAGATTCGTACGAACGAGAATTAAGTCTTGTATACAAATATTACTTCACCCCCGCCACACCGACGCAGGCATAAATAGCGAGAGAACTTTGGTTGGCGTGACATACTTAACTGCGCCACGGCTCCGTCCCTGTGCTGGTGGTATAACGGCTACGACTAGCATGGACCGGCTCTGACCAGTTTGGACCAGCTATGACAAGCCAAGACAAGCTATGACCAGCTTGGACAAGCTATGACCAGTATAGACCAGCGGCCCGAGTGTTTTCACTCGGGTCCCCACGTTAAAAACTGACCTTGTGTCACAACCTGACTCAGTGGTTGGGTCAAGTAAATATCACTTTGGTTGGCGTGGCATACTTAACTGCCCCAGGGCTCCGTCCCAGTGCTGGTGGTATCATGGCTCCGACTAGCTTGGACCGGCTCTGACAAGCTTGGACCAGCTATGACAAGCCAGGATCAGCTCTGACCAGCTTGGACAAGCTATGAACAGCTAAAACAAGCTTAGACCAGCGGCCCCAGTGTTTTCACTCGGGCCCCCGCGTTAAAAACTGACCTTATGTCACAACCTGACTTAGTGGAGGGTCAAGTAAATATCCTTACCTGCCCCATGTCCCCGTTCCTATGCTGGTGGTATCACGGCTACGACTAGCTTGGACCGGCTCTGACCAGCTTGGACCAGCTACAAGCCAAAATCAGCTCTGACTCGCTTGGACAAACTATGACCAGCTTAGACCAGCGGCCCTAGCGAAAACATTCGGGTCCCTACGTTAAAAACTGACCTTGTGTCACAACCTAACTCAGTTGGCGGTC